TGCTCCATCCATCCGTCCATTTGTTTATGGCTACGACTCCATTTTTTGTGGGGGTGCTGTGTTGCAAGCGGGACAGAATTTGTGCACGGCCGCTATCGGAAGGGCTAGGCGGGGATGATCCCGTAAATTGCGGAGATGCAGGGGGCGAAGGATCACTAGGTGGAGGTCAGGTGCCTGATCAGTCGGGGAGCATAAGGTAAAAGCCTGCGCCCAGAAATGGAGGAACAGAGAGGAGAAGGTCGCCATCGAGATTTTGATGGGCTGGAGAAGCAGGAGAAGAACGGTCAGGATGTGGCATCAGGAGGATGAGAGGTCGGGATTTGGTCGGTCAGGATGGGGATGCGGCCACGGAGGAAGCACAGGGAGAGTCAGTCACCGGGATAGGGTGAAGCATGAAGCCGAGATTGCAGGCGTCAAGGAGGGGTCGGAGGGAAGACGTCGTGGAGGATCCTAACGTAAATGGCAGGAGACTGTAGGACCCCAGTTTGTGAAGTAGGGGATGCATTGGGCAGCCCGGATTACAAGTGGGCGGATCACGATATGGTATGGAGTGGCACAGAAGGTATCACTGTTCACCAATCAGGGTGAGCATGCAGGAACCGATGAAGGGCAGGAGAAAGAACCCCAAGGCAGCAGGGGATGGATTGCAGGTCGTGGATTGGGATCCGGACAAGGTGGCGAGGAAGAGATTGGAAGGGGGAAAGAGGGGCTCAGCGTGGAGGGAGGGGAGAGGTTGTAAAGAAAGGAGAAAGCAGGATAACGAGGAAGGGCCTGAATCACGAGAGAGAGAGGGTGAATGTGGATATGCAAGTGATGGAGGATATCAGTGAAGAGAGAAAAGAGCGGCAGACAGAGCAAGAGAGGAAAGGGCATACCAGATACGCAGAGGCCACATTTAGTATTTGAGGAAACGGGTGGAGAAGGACGGTAAAAGGGAGGCACCGGACACAGGACAAGGAGAGAAAAGAAGAAAGACGAAAGAAGAAAGAAGACAAGCAATGGCCGATTGCTCCTTAGAACTGTCAAATATTACAAGTAAATTACATGCGTGTACTCATGCTCGAAAAACGCGCACGCGTTCCTCTACGTTTCAACCGGGTGCGCTCCGGTCTCATCAGGAGGCTAACCACAAACCCCGCGCCTTGCGGCCCACCAGTAGGACGAGGAAAAGCGGATTGGTGGGGGAAGCTTGGGAGGGGGGTGAAGGGCACGAATCGAATCATGGAATCGAACAGGCGGAAGGGAGGGAATGGAGAAGGAAGAAAGAGAAAAAAACTAGCGGGTAGAGAGAGAGAGAGAGAGAGAGAGAGAGAGAGAGAGAGAGAGAGAGAGAGAGAGAGAGAGAGAGAGAGAGAGAGATTTGGGGGTGGCTCGAGGAGGGAAGGAGGTTCCGTTTTCAGTTTTCTTTGGCTGCTGTGTGTTGGAACTCTTTTGCTATATCTGTGACGTGCAGACGCGCTGTACGAGCGGTCCCTGCGAGAAAATGAACGAAAATGAACGATGGGTGTGGCGTGTATGGCATCATTTCCTTTTCCACTGCGTCAGCAATTGGTTGTTTAATGGAGAATGTTTGAGCGTGTGTGTGTGGCGTGTACCACATGGCGCATGCGATATATTTTTTTTAATCCACGCGCGCGCGCGCGCGCGCGAGAGAGAGAGAGAGAGAGAGAGAGAGAGAGGGGGGGGGGGTATCTCCCATCTCCTCCTATTTGTCCTTCTCAATCCTTCCTTCTCCTCGTAGTCGTCCTCTTCATCGGGTTCCTTTCAACCCATGCTCATCGTCGTCCGGCCATCAACCCGCCCTGGTGGCCTCCTCCTCCACCTGATGGGCCACGTCGGTCGTCTGTTGCCTGCGCACACTGTTTTTTTTTTTTTTTTAATCCGCATGCATCCGACGTTGCACGTGCGTGCGTTTTTTTTTTTTTTTTTTCTAAATGTCCGTACGCACCCGACCTTGCACGAACGAACTGCAATTGATGTGTTTAATGGAGATGCGACGTGAGACAGAGAGGGAGGACCGGAAGATGGAGGAAGGGAGGTCTTGCAGCCACGGCTGCATGAACGAGCATCAGTCCATATTAAGGGCAGGGCACACTCAAAGCCATGCTAATGGGACTCTATCTGGCAATCTGGCAATATGACAAACGGTACCAGGAAAATAGGCAAAGGAGTAACAAAATATGGAAGAAAACGAAGTTCATAGGTATTCTGAAATAGAAAGATCAGGTCTACCGAAATAGAAAGGTCAGCGAACGACGCACAAAGGCTGTTCACAGAGCAGCTCACATAGCACCCCACAGAGCAGTGCACACAGCAGCACACATAGCAGCACGCTTAGGAGCACACATAACAGTGGACATAGCACCACACATAGCAGCAGCTGCAGCACACATAGCAGCAGGCATAGAAGCATGCATGGCAGCAGGCATACCAGCACAAATAGCAGCACACATAATGAACAATGTACCAACAAATACACTGTTCAGATGACAGCATACATAGCAACGCACATAGCACTACACATAGCATCGCACATAGCACCATATATAGCATCATCGCACATAGCACCAGAGATAGCATCATCGATGTATGAACGAAGACATTGTTCACATAGCAGCGGACATAGCAGTGCGCATAGAAGCTCACATAGCACCACACCACAGCACCACGCGTAGCACCACACATAGCATCACACATAGCACTGCACATAGTACCGCACATTGCACATAGCGTGTGCATAGCACCGCACAGAGAACCACACATAGCACTGGACATAGCGCCACACACAGTGGTTCACATAGCACCACACATAGCGCCGCACATTGCACCGCTCATTGCACCGCACACTGCACCACTTTTAGCAGATAGCACCACACATAGCACAGCACATAGCACATGGCGGCACGCATAGCAGTACACATAGAAGTACACATAGCAGCAGGAGTAGCAGCACACATATCCTCACACATAGCAGTCGGCATAGCAGCATACATAGCACAAATAGCAGGACACATAGCAGGAGAGATAGCAGCATGCATAGAAACACACCTCGCAGCACGCATATTAGCACACATAGCAGCACACATAGCGGGAGAGATAGCAGCAAACGTAGCAGCATACGTAGCAGCACACCTAGCAGCACGCATAGCAGCAAACATAGTGAATGAGGTACCCGTAGTGACACTGTTCAGCACACATAGCACCATGCATAGCACGCATAGCGGCAACATAGTGAACAACGCAGGAACAAAGACTGTTCGCATAGCAGTTACATAGCACAACATATAGCACTGTTCACATAGCAGTTACATAGCACAACATATAGCACCGGACATAGCACTGCACATAGCACCACACATAGCAGCGCTAGCAGCGAACATAGCAGTGCACAGCTAGCGCACATAGCAGTAAGCATAGCAGTGCACATAAGGGTAACCACGCATAGCAGCACACATAGCAGCGCACATAGCAGCACACATAACAGCACACATAGCAGCACACATAGCAGCACACATAGCAGCACACATAGCAGCACACATAGCAGCACACATAGCAGCACACATAGCAGCACACATCCACGCACATAGCGCCGCACATAGCCGCACACATAGCCGCACACATAGCCGTGCACATAGCCGCACACATAGCCACACACAGAACAACACACATAGCAGCGCCTAGCAGCACACATAGCAGCACTCATAGCATTACACACCTCACATAGCACTGCATATAGCAACGCTCATAGCACCACACATAGCACTGCACATAGCACCACACAGTGCACCACACAGTGCACCGCACATTGCACCGCACATTGCACCACACAGTGCACCACACAGTGCACGGCACATAGCACATAGCACCGCAGGGCTCGGTTTTCCACATAACATACGCTCCCTTTGTGTGTCCTCTTTCATCTCCTCTTTTTTTGTCCATGTTCTATGCAAGGTTCCTTTTTGTTTTTCAAGTTTTCACTGCTTATTTGCCCTCTGCAGTACAATACCAGTCAAGTGCCTCGCAGTTATACATTCGCTGTCGAACACACTGAATTTAACTTTTTCATTCGCTCATCAATTTTTCACTTCTGCAGGCTCAGATGTGCTCCCTCCCCCCCTAATTGGATCATCATCAATACTCCTTTTCTCACATGGGCGGAGCTGTGCTCGCTGTTTTCCAACACCTCAAGGCCAAAACGCCATTCTTTCTCGAAAAGGTTGCATGTACTGGATTCATCTACATTTGTTTTCCAACGGTCGGCCATTATTTTTTTTTTTCACCCTCCTGCATATCGTCCATTTCTGTTCCGGTATTCACAAGCTATTGCAGGTTTCAGACGCACCAATTTGAACACCATCAATACCTCTCCGTGGTCTACTACGTATGCCAAGAGCATGTCAACGTTATCGGCTTCAACGACTCCATTTAAACACTGCAATTTCCCAACTGGTTCTACAAAATTACATTTTCAAATTTTCACGCCTGCCAATGTCTGACGAGTGACAAGTGACCACGGCATTGTATTCGCAAAATGAATGCACAACAACAAACATTGTCATGCAACCAATGTTGGGAAACTGTTTCAACCACTATCCACCATGTCTACAACAGTCGCCTGTCCTGCGGCATTGCGCCCCGATTCTGACATCGTCAATCTGCTGATAACATTCAGCATGTACGTATGTTACCATACAGTTTTCTCATGCGCAACCCTTATGGTTGTCTCAATTTTGTTCACAATCATGTAATTGGAACTCAATTGCAAACACTGCTTCCTGTTGTTAAAAGTATCAGATATCCATGTCGCAGGAACCAAGGATCACCATGAAGAACAACAGCAATGCAGCGCAAGACTGAAATACACAGATCTGACTCATCGGATTGAGAATAGAACGCATACATCCATCATCAGTCGTGCATGGGTGCACATAGTGCTCATACATAGAAGATAGCTGCCATGTCTCGGCACATCCACAAACGAAAGGAGATGGAGGAAGAGATGAAGGAGGGGAGAAGGAAGGGGAGACTGCAACTTGAGAGCCCAGCAAAAGAATAGTCTCCACAATAGTTCCCCAAAGTCTCTGTCCAGACTACAAGATCGGAGTCTGGGCAAATAGCCCGAGTAGTCACCAAGTCTCAGCTCTCTCTCTCTCTCTCATAGTAGAATATGTTGAAGAGATGGATAGGGAGGACAGAATCAGAGGAAGAAAGAAGAAGAAGTCTCTCTCTCTCTCTCTCTCTCTCTCTCTCTCTCTCTCTCTCTCTCTCTCTCTCTCTCTCTCTCTCTCTCTCTCTCTCTCTCTCTTAGCCAGATACTGACCAGCAAACGATACAGTCTTGAACTGTGCTGCAGATGGAGCGGCCTGAAGACGATCTCCAGCTATGGTGTCCAACAGGTAAGTCCACAGCTGAGTCCTCTCCTCCTCAGCACCTCCTGGCCTCTACTCCCTGTCCTCCTAACTCTCCCAGAATGCTGCGTCCTGCAGCAGCGTAGTCGCATAGTTCACCAACGCTGCATGCCGAGAATGAGGCTGACTCAGCTATATACAGGGGGGCGGCTACTGGATTGGCCTGTGTCCTGGGCCGTCGAATCGTACTGCCGATCGACAGTCAAGGATGCAGGCCCAAGTCCTGGTCCTGAGTCGTGGCCAAACCGGCCCGCTTGGGTCCCAACCGGACATCTAGGCTCCTCTGCTGAAACAGCAGGGGTGTGCTCACAAGAGGACAAAAATGGGGCTGGACCAAAATGTGGTTTAGCTCGAATCTGAGTAAGCTAGGCCTGAAAACGGCCGCTGGGCCTGAAATCAGGCCAACTGGTCCAGAGGCACTATTGGACTGGGCAAAACTACTGTAACGACACATCCAGACCAGACATTATTCAGTTTGATCTCTCTTATTCAACTCATTGAAATTCAAAGAAATTTATTAGACTTATAGAGTATCAATAGTCTCAAATTCAAATTTAATCTCTTTCCAAACTTCACAAGCAGCAGCTAATTCAGGACTCCACTTGGTAGCCTCTCGAATAATTTCATTACCTTCACGAGCTAAATCTCTTCCCTCATTGCATGCTTGTACGCAAGCTTCCAAAGCTACTCGGTTAGCTACAGATCCTGGAGCATTTCCCCAAGGATGACCTAAAGTACCTCCTCCAGATAGTAATACTGAATCGTCACCAAAAAATTCAGTTAATGCAGGCACATGCAACATGAATTCCACCTCAAGCTACAGGTAATACACCTGGTAAAGAAACCCAATCTTAATCTTGGAGACGTAAATATGTTAACTTTAAAATTGTTTGTATATACAGTTGTAATATTTTTTATATCTTTATTTATYTTTGGTTTCTTATCTAACGATCCGGGACGTAATCTGGAACAGACAAAGATGAACTCAGAACAGACAAAAGACTGAGAGCACGACAAAAATGAACTCAGAAAAATGCAGACGACCCCAAAATAAAATAATACACCCCAAACTCACACTCCACGACCCCTGAACCAATGTCGGTCCCTGGAGGCTGCCTGTGTGGGAGCCATGCATACCACACTGTCCAGCCAGTTTCACACTCTGTCTAATTTCCTTCCTTTCTACTCATGTGATTACTTTCATTTCTCATACTCCAACTGCCACTACTATTTCCAATGTTGTTCTACCTAAATTCTTTGGTGCTGCTCCTTTCTATCACTGTCATTCACGGGAATGCATCTCGACAACAAGATCAGTACCCATTCCATATCCCAATTCCTTTGACCACCACCCCTCTCTGTCTCTCATACTGCTCTTTTTGTCTACGGACTTCTACAATACCCGCTTCCCAAATCCTAGTCCTCCTTTACCTCAACTGCTGCACACGGCTTTCATTATGCCTCTCTCCATCGACTATTTCTCCCTTTCCAATCTCCCTTTTGCTGATGCGGGTGGAGCTGTGCTGAGCCTTCTTGTGTTCGTTATGAATTATTATTGAAGCTTTCATTCTCTTCTCCACTTCTTGTCCATACTTGTCTAATTTCTGGTTAGCCACGGTGGCATTTTCTGAGACCACATTTTGGGTGTGATGAGAACATACAGGGTGATGGCGTTGAGAAGTTTTGTGACTGGGTTCATTACATACTCTTCTCTGTTAGAAGTCTTCCTTGGGTCATGGTTAGGCTCTAGGTGTTTGTTTGGGCGTGTATTTGAGTCCCCCCGCTTCCCACCTTGGAGACTTCCATTTCTTGAGCTTTTCTTCTGTTGCAATCCGGGCCAATTCCGAAGTGCAAAAACACAATGAAGTACAATGCCGTCCAATTGCAAAAAGAAATGAAAGAACTTGAGAGGAGAGAGAGACCAAATCAGAAGAAGAAGAAGAAGAAGAAGAAGAAGAAGAAGAAGAAGAAGAAGATGTACATCAGCAAAAGACCAATGACAATACCCCCTTCTCTCGCCACCAACTCCTCCTTATCTCCCCCTCTCTTATTCAAGCAATAAATAATAATAATAACGATGAATGGCTGAACCAGAATCAACGTCTCAATCCCTCTTCTACTGCCAGAACAATATGAGGTCCACCATAGCCATGACCTTCATCTTCCTCCACCTCCGACAGGTCTGGGCTATGGCGGACTACTAAGGGCCTTGCCCGATGTTCAAAAGACAATGCAAAAGCAGCTATGTCCTCCTCTCTTCAAGTCACCGTGCCCGACTCTGCCTTGAAGCCTTCTTGATGTGGCGCTACCCCACTAGGGGCCTTCCAGATGCTGCACCTACCAAGGAGATGAAGATGGCGCCTACCATAGCCAGGTAAGTACCCCTGGCGCTCTCCTCCCTAGTCTTCTTCTTCCTCCTCCTCCCACCTGGGGTCTTCCACCATAGCTGAGGTGGTCACCGAGGCGCTCCTCTTCCTCCCAGCGCTGCACACTAGCGCTCCTCCAGGCGCTCCAGCAGCGTGACGCCCAAACTTGCATGCAGCAAATGAGGAGCAACTCGCTCTTCCTGGAGATATAGCAGCCTACCAGCCTCTTGGGTGGGGATTTCCAGGCCGCGCGGCCTCCAAGCAACCGGTACCTCCTCCCTTTTGGAGGGAAACATCATTGCAGACCTGATATCTACTCCTACAGGCCCTACACCTACACTACCGGACTCCTACCCCTAAAGGTACTAACACTTTGTCTTCTTCTGCTCGGCCTACCGCTACTCAAGTGCTACCGGTACCGACACTACTCTACTTGAGTGTTCCCTAAGCTACCCCTTCGGCCACTTGAGTGTTGTTTCCCACTGCAACCCCCAAAGTCATGACCACAGGTAAGTACCGGCCGCACGGGCCTTCCAAACAAACAAGTGCCCTGGCGGGCCACACACACACTCAGGCTGACAAGCACTCAGACAGGCACACGGATCAGAGCGCGCACACACAGACGTAGAAAACTCAGCAGAACACGGGAATCTCAGCAAGGCATACATTCCAGCGGCAAAACTCAGAAATCAGCAGTGTTCTCAGTCTGTGTTTTGCAGGTCCTTACTCTTCTTCCACGGGTCATTAAATGTGCACTGTTGCCTTGTATTGTCTTCGTCGTTCCTTGAATTCAGTTTCATGTGGGCACCATCTGACTTTTATGGATGCTTTTTGAAGTCATAATCTCATATCGGAGGTCGAACATTGGGACTTGGTGTGCTTTTGGTGCCTTGTCTGCCTGCAGGTGTTCAACTTGGATGGGGAAGAGCTAAAAGAGACTGATGAATGCGGCATTGGAGACCTGCAATCGGTGCAGGGACGTGGACAGACTGATTGGTCTTCATGACCAGATGATAGATCCCAGCAGTTGTGGTGTGGATAAGGTCAGTGGCTCACTTCTGACAGTAGTTCCCGTGATGTGTGATGTTTGGACTGCAGGAGGATTCCCCATGTCAAGGCAAACATAACTTAGCAGTAGGGGGTGCGAGGCCTGGTAGAGGCTTGGTAACGAGGTAGGAGGTTTGAAGTAGACTTGGAGTTTGGGCTGCTGATAGCTAGGGTTCTGGTCCTTGCAGGCTCCAGAATGATCTGAGCTGCTCATAAGGTTGGCGGTTCTGCTTAATATTGGTTCTTCTAAGTCTAGTTACCCATAACGTTTGTGGTCCTTCTTTCTTGTCCGTCTTATTAGCCCCGCTGAGGCTGTTGATGGACAGTTGGGCTCAATAGGTCCGTGGTCTGTCCATGTTTTTCTAAATTCTCTCCAAATTTCTTCAGTGTTCTCAGCTGAAGCCGGGTAATGGCCCCGTTATCTCAATGTTTGTACAATTTCGTAAGGGACACTGGCCCCAGTTCCCAGCACGTGCTACTCCCCATGAATAGAATGGAGCATTCGTCCCCCCCCAAAAAAATAAATAAATGATAATCTGAAGTGAGGTCATGATGAGAACGTGCAAAATGGTGCGGTCGTATCTTTAGTGTGCTGCCTGTGAAACTACTGCAGCCTCCTCCAAACCTGTTGTGTTGAACCTGCCTCTATAACCACCATGCGGTCCATGCCTATATCATCAGCGGCAAGAACTGGATGTTTCATTTCATGCCAGGTTCTAGCTGTTGGTATTGGGATCCGGCGGCAGGGGTTTGGAGCATGGTTTCCATCCGGATGTCCGGATGTCAAAGTCCTGATCCTGTCTGGATAATTAAAAACAAATTATTAAATTTATTTTCGAAAACTCCGACTTCAAAAGCAAATCAAAAACATATGTAAAAAGTACATGTTATGTAACATTGCAATACAAAAGACTTTTGGGTGAGGGTCTTTGTCGCATGCCTAATCGGCATCGATCAGAACCGAGAACCGGACTCTCAGAGACAATACAAAAATAGCACAGCGGAAAACTGTAATACCAAGATCTGACTCATCATGGACAATGACAGAACCTGACAGCATACATCATCACTCAGAAAGAGGGAGAAGAGACGAAGGGGAGGAGAGGGAGATAGGGAGGATCAGCCACGATAGCACAATGAACCCAGTCTCCAATGTATCCCCAATGTCGCTGCTCATACCATGTCGAGTCGTAATGTCACTGAACTGGGCAATTCCCGAATGTCACCAA